TTTTTTTTTTTTTGACGGCATGCTGGCAGTCCACGCAGGTACCGGCATTATTATTATTAGGAATACATAATAACGCGTGTTATACATAATGACACACGTACAATGTTCATTGTAGCGACTAGTGTTTGTGTGCGTACACAGAATTCGGTGCGAATACAATCAGCAGATACATATTGTGTAAATGCGGGTCGGCGAAATTTTTTCCTAGACCAGACCTCTATGTGTATGTTCACCTCTAGTCCGTGTCTGAATAGCAATGACGACAAGAACACGAGAATAGGAAAAGAAATTTGTCCACCGTTTTTCGCGGTAAGCGCTTGGCGGGATCTATTTGTGGAAAACTGTCGGGTTCCGGGCGGCAAACGCAGTTAGTGGACGATACGCGGTGCTTAGCCGGTGGATTCCGGGAAATGAGAAATGCCGGGCCACGTGCACAATGTTCTTCATTACCGTTGTCATTACAGCCGTTATTATTATTATTACGGTTCGTATGAAGTGCACTCGAAAATAATATATTGTCGTACGACGGAGTGCGTGTGAAATTCCTTAGCGGCCCCGTATGGGGTGACGGGGCAATGGGTAATTACGGAGGGTGCCAAAGAGCGAGCCGGCGGTGTCGATTAATTCGGTAGCGGCAACACGCCCCTGCAACAACGTCACTCGGGAACGATTGATAACAACAGCGGTATCGCTTGGGGGAAACCAATGGATTTTTCCCGGACATTATCATTTATACACACACTACAACAATAATAGTCCAATATACATTAACGTCACGCGCAGAGTTTTACAAATAAGTACTTTTTATTTCCACGCACATATATCTATTATACGCTTGTATAGGTTTTTTTGTTGTAAATCCCACGAACTTCTATGTATCCATTTGGACCGTACCGAGAAATTATTACTTTGCTGCGTTGTTTCGCACTCTAGTCCGGAGAGATTTGATAATATATATTTTTTTTCAGATTAATTTACAATAGGTAACGAAAATCGAATACCAAAGGTCGGCCAAAAGATATACCGGGAATTATCATTTTTTCCTTTGTAATTACGACAAAAACAACAAATTTTTATCGTAATAAAGAAATATTTGTGAGTAATAAATAAACGACCGACGAAAGAGATCAAATGGGAAAATGCGAATCCCGAAACGCATTTGTTTTGCAATAGTCGCAGTTTAGTTCGAAGAATTTCTTTGTTCTCGCCAACGCAATCATTTCTCAATAGTGGTTTATTAGACATTATCATTTTCTGTAACGACGCTTATTTATTGGTATCGATATAATAATAAAATGCCTTCAAATGATTTGCCAGAGTACTTGGAATTTTAATTGTTATCAGTAGAAACCGCTATTTTTTCGTTGCCGTCATTATGATAATAGAAATTTGTACGATTTAATTCATTAGGTTTCGAAAATTCCAAGACTCTTAATAATAGTTACATCGATACAATTCCGCGTGTCATCACGACCATCATAAGCCGTGTACAGTGTTGCGTAACTCGATGCATTTGATATCCAACAAATGTTTGATAATCGCTGTTCATACACCTCGGCATCTATAAGTGTACACCCGTCCACAATCAATCACATCATATCAATTCATAGAACGGGCAATTATTTTCCATCTGTAATTACATAATTCTTTAATGGCTCGATCAGCGAAATTTCTAGTGTTAGACAGGCCATTAGGTTGTACGGAGGTGTATGAATCATGGTGCGCATTTTTTCCCATTATTAAACGCATTTCGATCGCTATTTGCGCGTACACGAATGGTGACCCTCATTATTAATTCAACGTGTGTAATGGTTGGCGAATATGGTGATTGCCGTAATGTAATTACTCTCCGTCAAGTTTAATCTGTTGTTGGTAAACCCTGAAGTTCTCTCATTGGTTATTGTGTATTATTCGGTTTTTATTTTAATACGATGCGCGATGTCCGCTCTGAATGCATAAGTCGGCACACGGCTTAAGAACCTCCCCTTCGGCAAACGTTCCGAAATTATTTGCATTCTGGTGTGTGACAGTGTGTACTGTCGCACACACACACAACGGAGTTCGGTTAAATTGCCGGGATATATGCAAAGGGATCACGGAGAAGACAAATTGATGGTGGACGCAGTACGTGAAAGCGACTCATGCAAAACGGCCGAAAGGTTAGTGTGTTTTTAGCCTTTAGGCGGGTCGCTACGAGGGATGCATTTGAAACAAACCAATTGTGTGTGTATCAAGGGTGAAAAACAACAACGTTGATAATGCATTTAGCCCTTGTTTGCGAAATAACAGCAAACTCACCCTTATTACGGCTAAGCGCTAGAATCAATATGAAGACGGTGGTGTGCACGATTCAGCAAAATGTTTAGAATGTAGCGCGTTAAGCTATTTTAAGTTTCTCTTAAATCGTTTAACCAAATTTGCTATGCCAACAGAGTACAACGTTAATTTAACGTATTAACGAAATTATGCTAACGGTTTCGATGAAATGGCGTTGAAATAAAAACGATCTCTGCTGCTCACGCTGTTGTCGCGGTGCGCCGCTTAAATACATTTGCTGGTCACGAAGCAGAAATATTGCAATAAACGGTGACACGAGCACAGGCACTTTGGCGCATCGTGTGGCTCATCCAATATTAATATGAACACTGCGTTTTGTTTGGAGCAAATACAAAATATGAGACACATTTACAATCGACTTTTTGTGCCGTTCGGTTTTTTCCTTTTATAACAGAAGATTTTTATCACTTTTCTGAAGAATACTCTTCAACGTAATACTCATAAACGGTTATTTACGAATTACAAATATTCATATAACATTTTATTATGTAAAGTGTTTAGCTGTAATATATTATATTACATCAAGGTATAGTCTACGAGGGCCATAGCTCCCATAGCTCCCCCCCACATACGTCACTGTCAGTTATCTTACCTGAAATTATTGTAATGACGTCTGGACGAATAGTTTATGCGTAGAAAATATAGATATTTTTTCAATAATTTATAAGATGCTTATACAATTTATTTAATTTTATGCAAATTTTATACTAATACATAAATATTTGTCGGAATTTCAGATTGTATGAGATTTATATCTAATTTAATTAATAACACGCTAATGGTCGGTTAGGTGAATAATAATTGATAATTATGCGCCTTATTGATATTTTGTTTAGCCTACATTTAAATGAAATTCATGACATTAATTAACTTTGATTATTTACATTTATCTGATAATGGGTCAAGGAGACCGTTTGTGTAAATGATACACGAAACGCCACCGATTATGTTGATTTATATGATAAATTTGTGAATTCACGATAATTAAGTTGAAACAATTTTTTATATTTGAGTCGATGAAACGATAAAACTTTTAAAATAACTTTCCAACAGTTAAAATATTGTTAATACAAATTGTACATGTTTTTTTCATGACTCAAAATAAATTTTAAATACATTAATTTGTCAATTATTTTTTCAGATTTTAGGCTACGCAAATGTCAGAAAAATATTAGGCAGAAATAAAACTAATAAGTTTATTTTTTGTTTTTATAATATGAGTTTGGCGAAAAAGTTTTTTCGCTTCGAATATTTTTCGGTATTCATCTCAATACTGAAGCAAGTTAAGTGATTTATTATTTACAGTTTTTTAACAGTAAACAAACTCGCGCCTTCCATAAAGTACGCGCTGCAGCCCTCACTTTCATCTCAATTTCAGATTCTTTTTTGAAAAGTTTACACAAATATTTTAATTGGCATTACAATTATTTCTCTGTTTATAAATACATCACTTTTAGTTTCATCGAAATTAATTATTTGATGCTTAAATAAAACTTTTCTTTAGTTGTCTAAAAATAATTATATTAGTTTTTAATTTTATCATTTTCAATCGTCTGTTCAACGTTTCCGTCGATTAATTGGAGAGAAAATATTGTGATATTTTTTAATGAAAAGAAAACTTCCTTAAATAAATTTTTCAAGTAATATGGGGTACGTTTATTTTCGTATGATGTTGAAAAATCATAAAACGTAATTTGATTAATTTAATTTAACAGTTTAGGTGGAAATAATAAGAAACTTAAAAGCTTTGCCATCATTTAGTTTCCAATATGATTCTGATGAATTTTTATCGCACGAAATGTCCTCGAATTATTTATTATATTTTGCTCAAAATTATTTATATAGTTGACTTATTTTTGAAATTGTTATTTACTCATGCATGACTGATTGCCACTTTTTAATAATAACACACAACATGTGTTGTCTTTTTAAATTGTTTATCAAAATATTCATTTTTATTATCCAAAGACCATATTTACGGTGACAATATGATCGATTGTTAGGAAACATTTTGTTTGCACTAATTTTCATTAAAGACATTACGATTATAACTAATATTACTCATTCTCTCGCTTTATTATTTGCTAAACATTATATAAATTGTGACTAACGCAACACATTGTTTTCTCTTTAATGTGTACATTTGAATTATTATAATTTTACACTATTTTTACTTTTTATTTAAATTTTGTGTACATTGCATAATGTGCAAAACAGCACCGCTCTATCAAGTTTAGATGATGTATTTGTTTATTGAACTTTTGCACACCATTATGAATATATTTATATCTATTTTAAATATAAATTGTGTATGTGTTTTTAAGTACAAAATATGATCGGAAAATAAATTATTATAATATATTGAAGGAAAATTATTTTAAAATGTTCTTTGATAAATTGTAAGTACTGAATAAACAGCTATAATTATAGTAAGCTCATGATTAGTTTGATACATAAAAATGTTTTTAATATTCTTTAATGATTAGGTTCGTGTCAGTCATCATCAAAGTTAGAAATCACTTATGTGAAAATTATTAAATTTTTAAATAGGAATATGATTAAATTTTGTATGAAATATTGAAAAAACAGTAAAACTGAAAATTATTAAGATTTATTTCAAAGTTGAATATGAATAGCTAATATTTCAATTTTTTTTTTTACAGTGGTTAGGTGTGATGTACATGAAACTGTTCCAAGTACATAATTCAAACTAAGATTATAAATCAGAAATATTATTAGCTATAACTCATATTTGACACATATCACGTGACGAGACTCTTGTTGACTTCCAACTACATTATTGTACTTATCATTATTATTATACATGCCAAACTAGAATGGTTTTATTACAGTAAAAAAAAATTCATTTCAGTTGTGACACAAACCTGTAATTGGACATTCGTAGTTTATGTGTAATAAAATATTGTTGCAGTTATCTTTCTGAAGCTTCAACAATCTGGAGACGTACAACAGCAACAGCTGGAAAGTATAAGTTGATGTATTATGTTAATGTACAGTTATGCGGAGTATTATAATTCATTTATTAAATTCAAAACAATACTTTTATAAATATGTTAATTGATTTTACTGTTACTACATTAAGAAAACGACGGCGGTAGTAGTATACAATAAATTAAACTATAATTAACAAAGCTGGTTATGGCGAGTTTAATTAATGCGTCGTGTCTACTGTAGTACTACCAAGTTTGGTCATATTAAAATTCCATTATTTTAGCAATCAAAATATCTTTTTAGTGATATTTTTTTGACAGTCTTATATTTTATTATTGTAACGTTATTAAAATGTAAAAAGGTTTTTAAGCTTTCAACTGCCAACTGAATTTCATTGAAAATAAAAAAATATGTTTACTACATAAAAATCAATCACTTTTATCGTCAAAATATAATGTAAAATATTTCTATCTTAGTACTCAAGTCCTATAGCCTTGAGGTAAACCAATGATCTATATAAACCCATTTTTTATGTAAACCTTGCGATTTTTTGACGCATCACTAGTCGGGTGGAGTTCATCAGAGCTGAACAAATTGATTGCCATGACCATTTGATCGGAGTTCAAATGAATCATCAAAAACAAATAATGTTTTTGCAACTCACTCATTAAACACAAATTACATTTGAAAAAAAATAATGAAGTTAATTATTATAATTTTTTTTTATAATTTTAACGCTTTCGTCGGGGCTTTCATTCGAGTGTACGTTGCTGTTTTAATAATTCTCTTCTAAACACAACGCTAACAAAGTAACACTAAATATGTTCTTATTTTAAACGGAGCCCGTAAAAAAACAATATCCATTTCTAGTTTTAATGATAGGTGTTATTGTAAATTTAATTTGAGTCTGTTTTTAAGTCGCCAAGTACTCGGTTGGAAATAATTAAATGGAGTTTTTTTTGTGTCGTTGCGGTCGGCTTAAAATGTTTTGACATACTAATGGGAATTATGTGTTAGATAATGCACATGTGTTTTTTTTTAGTGAACTTATGCGTACGTTCATTAGTTGCCGGCCAAGAATGTGTAATTTGTTTACTGCTAAACTTAATTAACATTGAATATGAAATGTGTTTGACAAAGTTACAAACATCCATCGGATTATAATCACAGTCGATTACCGTTTAATTTCGTTTAATCCGAACAGTTTATCGGCAACGCGATAAGTGATAATATGTTCGACGTCTAGAATTTTGTTGTTGGGAAATTGGCGGGACGGCAGGACGAGCACCCCCTCCCCCCAGCCACTCAGAAACGGAAGTTTTCCGAAGACGGTCCGCGGAGCACTTAATCGTTATGATTTTAATTATTATTCGAGGTAGTTTGTTGCGGTTAAAGGGATCCAATGAAACGATCGTTCACCGCACAATATGTACTCGCCCAATGAAATGTGCCTTTGTTGTTCTTGCACGTGATGTGGTCTACGGCAACGATACAACCTTTTTCGGAGCACCAGTTCCCCGGCCATGATTGATAATCGAACGTTTTAAACGCGGCCCGGAGCAGCAGTCGGACACAAAATTGTGAAGTATAATTTATACGCGTATGTCCGCTGGTATCAGTTGTGTGTATCTGTACCCAGTCGACTCGCTGCTCGGTATTCGAGACACGCACCGAGCATGTTGATAGCGCTACGTTTTCATGTATTAAACGTGAAATTATTGACTTGAATTGGCCCTGGGCGTATGTTCTCATTATAATAACATAAATTATCCACACCGATAAAGTCGTACCCATTCGTTTTCACATTGTGTACAGGAATTTTTTTCAGACGTTTCCAAACTTGCACAGTGTCGTCGACAGACACCATTATGAGCGGTCGCAGTTTCGAAAGTGTCAAAAATGACATATATGTGTACTCGGCTAACGACCACACTGTACAGGTAACTGTTCGTGAGCGCTCATTAAAATAACGTGTTTGTACAACGCGTACACTATGCAAATTAAACGTTACAATTTCTGGCGTTTCCGTGAACCGTGTTAAATAATCATTTCTAGTGTTCTATGCGGCGTACATGTATTTAATCAGTTCGAGTTACACTCGAAACGTGTACGGGAATTCCAAACTCGGACCGATAGCGATTGTTGCGCATTAAGTATGCGAAAAACACTTCATTTGGGAATTCCTCCGTCCCGATGTGCTTGTGCGTACGCTCCGCGTCCCCGCCGTTTGTCGTCCGCCCTCATTGGCGGGCCAACACAACGGCGGCGCATGTGTCCGCCGATGTACGACGTCGTGTGTGAATGAGAAGAATGAAAACGATTTTTGACGGCCTATTCAACGGACGACTCATTATCGTCTCGTAAAAGCACCATAAAAACCCAATGCGGCCAGATACCGATGGAAAACCGCCGCCGACGTCCTTGGCCGACACCGCGTGTGTCTTTATTTTCTCCGTACATATGCCTTTTCAATGTGCTTATAATAATATTCTGCTCCGTAACTATCTTTAATGTTGTATACATCCGTCGCGGACGTAACAATGTGATTTTCCCCGAACAAAGGGAGCTGGTGGCCAACCATGACGTTTAAGAAGTTTTTTATTTAATACACACGTAATGAGTGTGTATAGGATAGATTATTTTTTCCAAGTACACACGCATACACGAAACGTTGTGGTTTTGTTGTGTCGGAGATGATCGTAAAAACTTTTTTCCATTTCATTCTCTTCGCTTCCATCGTAAATCCAGTGTCTTTTTTTATTTTTTTTTTCATTCACCCTATTCAACGACGGCCGACGACGAAAATTCGTCGGCCGAACAAAGAGACGAACAGGTCTTATTATACGTTCACAATGGACACCCGAAATATGTCAAAATATAAAATATATCATACGTGTGACGAGAATCGCCACAGAATTCTTCTATTATTGTGTTACCGTGTAAAAGGATTATCGTCTATTTCTGTTAAATTTATAAGAGTTTTGACTTTACGATGGAACAGCGCCTTAGAGGCATATGAACTGTAGGGCTGTGCATCTAATAAATTAAGGGAAACGTTTTACATTGTTTTTTTGGAAAAGAAATAGAGCAGTCCAACCCGGCCGTCAAACAGCTGACTACAGTTGTCAAACGTATCTAAACGCGAATCATAACTATTTTCTATATCGAGCGATTTTATAATGAACTGTATTAACAAAACGACCAAATAATCAATTATTACAAGTTCTATAGTTGATAATAACACGATCAAAACTGTATAAAACCATTTTGCTTACTTCGTTAGTTAATAGGTTCATTATATCCGATTCGAATATTATTGATGACTTAAGCGCACTCGATTATAAATTTCAGCGATGAGCGGTTTTCGGTTATTCAGATGTTGGCTGCACGTAATGGCTTTTATAATTCATTTATATTTAATTTAATATCTTGTTAGCCGTAGCAAATAAATTCGACATTTCACGCGTGCGACATTATCTATCTGTATGAGAATATAAAAATAAATGTATTTTTGGCAGGTCTGTCATGATTTACGTTCTGAATTTTATTGATTTTGTTTTACCGTACTTGAGTTATCTTTCTGAACGCGAGCTGTCGCAGAGAAATGCATTCGTTATGAAAGTACGGTTTTGTGGAAATACTCTGACGAATGGGTCGCGATTACGACGGTATTACTATTGTTGTGAACGGCATCGTCATATTGCAATACGACGACGTTGTTTGAGATTAGCTGTTGAATTGGCTGTTTTAACGTAAGGGCTTAATTACAATTGGGGTGCGAGGGCGGCCGGGACATGGCAGTGTAGGCCTGCTGCCGTTGCAGCCTACAACGACTGTTTTATCACATAAAACGCTTTTGCGAGCGGCAAAACTTTATTAAGGATTAAAACGGTACTATTATATCCGAATATTGTTTGCATATAAAGTATTATTAGTGCTCGAGGGTAAATTTTTACGTGCATTGATTGCCTCTCTTTAGAAATGAAACTGGCATTATGATAAGTTCAGTGCCTCGTTTTATTTTTTATTAATTGTTGTGATAAACGTATTTATCATTATACCGTTTCAGCAAAGTTGTCTTTTTATTTTATCTCGGGCAATAAAAAAAAAAGTAAATGCCATCAAAATATGCGGTGGTACGTTTTATGTCTACCGCCGTGACGGTTGTTAAAAGGTAACGATTTCTTTATAGAGAATGTCAAAGCAGACTTTTTTTTTTTTTTGCATAAAAATTATGGTACTGTCTATCCGTTCGCGGGCCGTTGGAATGTTTTCGGAACAAGTCGACTGCAACGTGTTTTTGGAATGCCATAGATTATCTGGCAGGTTTTGTGTGAATTTACCCTCACTATATGGTGTTGTTTGGCGTTTTAATCGAACAATGGGTAATAATTATATACATTTTCCCGTCTTTTATGAATTGTGTAATAACATTGTGTCGTGCGATATCTGTCATTATGTCGTTGTAATGAGTAGGTTAATTTATTTTAAAACGTTTGCCGTGTACTGAGAAACCGTTTTTGCGATACGGTAAATGATAAGTCGTAACGTTGTTGGTAAATGACAACGTGACAGATGCATAAGTGGATTGACTAAATATAATGCACAGATTATTTCTAAAAATGACCAACTGTGCGTTTTTCACTATGTTATCTAGCTAATGTTATGGTTAGTTCGCGGTACTGAAATGCATTGGACTGACTTGTTAATGTGCTTTTGTAAATTTGCTGTCGAACACATTACGCAGAAATTCTACACATTTCGAAAAACTATGCGCGTACATTTGATTGGATATTTGCGCGATTCGCATTTATGCGATTTGATTTTTGATTGTGCACTATTATCTTCTACCGCAGAACCGCATTGTCGTGTGTTCGGTGCTCCGAGGTCCGCATACGTGCACGTGACGTATAGATCATCAGATAGGACTCTGTATGCGGCAAGTCCGAATACGATGTGTGGTTTGGACACATTAAATAAGTACGGCGTGTAATGACAAGTGCGGATAACAAGTTTGCAACGTACAGTCGCATTCGTTGTACACCGCCGCCAATTCAGC